ACACATAGGAACAAGACTTGATGAACCACAGTGGCTCCATGAAAGGATGCCACTGATCTTTATCCCATTGTGCAGCAGCGAACTGGCTCAACGACCTTTTCACCTGCAAGCCAAATGGAGTAAAAGCCAGTCTTCACAAATTGAACTAATTAGTACAGGAACAGCAACAGACCAAATGAGTATAGTGTTCTATTCTGTTATCCTATTACTTTAACAATAAACAAAAAAATGTTCTGTCCGTAAGAAAATTTAACTAACTGGTAATAATAAATAAGATTATAATTATAATGAGTAAAAACCATATCATGTAAAGGCTGAGTTTGCATACTCCAGTTGCTTGGCCAAGAGACGCTAACTTAGACAAATTTCTCCTCATCCCGTATGTGTGCAGGGACATCTTTCTCTGAAGATACAGTGGTAGATTGATTGGTAAATTCAACTTACAAACTGAATATGTGAATAACCAGATAAATGTATGAAACTTAAAAGAACATATATCTAACATTCCAGCTTTATCAAGAACAACAGATAGAAAAATATCGTAAACAGGTGGCCAATGATAATCAACTGACCTGGTAAGGATGGCACTGAAATCTCACCTCCTCAAGCAACAGCAAAAACTATAGTAAGGAGAAGATATAAAAAGTTTTAAACCCAAGTTACTTGAGTGAAATCGATAAGAGAAAACATCAAGCCATTAGTCTGGCTAATCATAAGGAGAGGATGTGAGTGATGGTAACATTTTTGCTTTCTTTATATAGTTCATCGTATCAAGCCAAGGTTTGAGTCAGCTAAGTTCGTTTTCCCACTTGTCCAGCACAGCAACAGACAAAGAATTTCGAGTGGTGGGATAAAATCATAGCTGATCCCCTATATGTGCATGTAGCACGAGACAAGCCCCAGTCGAATAATTAGGGCTGGCTGAAGCAATAATACTTTTCATACACCTAACCACAAGATGATCATTTTTTTCTGTCCTATAATAGGAGCTTGGGAGGGGAGCACAATAAATATGTTGGCGTCCTGGTCAAAAGCAACCAAGCAATATTTCTTACCTGAAGAAGCGTGAGCTGTGCGAACAGCATGGTGGCCTTTGTCTGCAGCATTCATAAAATTATATGAATCCAGTTCATTCAGGAAACTGTAAAGAATCACCTTCTCCAGATCACAAAGGTAATATAGTATATTGTAATCACACAGCAAAATTTGTAATCCACAAATATTTCTCTTTATAAAGTTTACAGTAACTTCTTTGACAAGTAACACTTACAGAATATGCACGGTAAAGTCACTTCCCATAGCCAATGAGGCAGTTCTCAATAAGCATATAAAGATCGGCAACAGAAAAGAATAGAAAAAGAAAACCATCTGATCTATAGAACCCAACATCATAATTTTTTTTTGACAGGTATATGTTGTGAAAATATAGTCAAGTGCTATTACCGATTTGCATGTTTTAAACACTGTAGTTAATACCAGGCCCTTCCCAAAATTTCCCTCTAAAGGGAAAAGTTCACGTGGTACGCACATGTATATGGATCAGAAAATAGATAATTAATTCGAGCTGCATTGGTAGCCTGCAAACTGAAAACAGAATGGACAACCTGCATTGACAGTTTTCGCCTTTGAGAAAAAAATCAATTAGGACATAAATTTGACCAATAACTGTTTCTAAGAAAAGAGAACAATACCAACAACACAAATTCATCCAGTTATTCACCTTTATGAGCATCTCAGAGACTCAGACCCCTCTGTAGTCCAAAGCAGGGGGATGGAAGCTGATGCCAGGCAACACAGCAGTGGGCACCATGACCTCGAGGCTGCCAATTTGGAACCTACCACAGGAAGCCTAATAATTTTGGAAAACGGGGAAGAATTTGTAACCTGTGCTTTCTGAAGAAAATGAGAAAGAAAGCTACATACATGATTGTGGAGGAGGCTATGCAGCCTTGTTTTTCAGGTCCACACTGAAACATTCTGCAGGTGAGTTCCAGATCTCAGTGTCAAGCCATTTCTCAGCACCCATGCTGACATGCTTGCTGCCTCCATACTTGTACAAGTAAAGGAGCGTCTGATCGAGGAATAACAGCTTACTTGCATGGAACCTACAATGGATGTCCAAATTTAGCAAATCCTCGGTATACTCCTATATGCTAAAATCTTCAAAAATTCTTCAAGAACTACTCTTGTCGCTATAAAAGAGCAGAAAAAAACATAATACTACTCAGCGGAATGTCAAAAGAATCAGTGAAGAGGAAGAAATAGCCACACCAAGAAGCAAACCTTGCTTGATCCGCTTTTGTTCTTGTCCGGCTCGGAGAGAACAGGATTCAAAGACGAGATGAGGAACTTCTGAACTTGTTCATCTCGGCGAGATCAGGATTCGAAGCCTGCGAATATATTAAACTTAACGGAACATGTAAAATATGGAGAAATCTGTTACCATGTCATGGCTTAGATAATTTTTCATAATCCTTGTAACGAAGTTTCCATCTTCATGTACTTTAAGGTTGCCATCCCGTTTTAGCAGTCCAGCGTTAATATGATTCTAGCTCCAATCTGAATGGAGTAAACACATATCAATGAGCCAATTATATCCAATTTGACATGCAAATTAACAATCCATAATAGTAGCATCGTATGCAATGCAAGCAAATCGCACGGAACAGCACCACACCAACTTGCTGCGACAGCTGAAGTGAAATCGCTGCAGGACACACAAGACACGGGACACGTAGTGCTGACAGCCTAACATGGCATGCATGGTGAGGTAGTATGTATATTCAGAATTATACAGAGCAACGCGTAGTACATGCTGCGGCGTGCGGCCGTCAGAACAATCAGTAAGGAAGCTAACCTTGTCGATCGTTAGCATGTTCGCTTGCTCGTAAACGATCGCAATCAGTAAGGAAGCTAACCTTGTCGATCGTTAGCATGGTTCTCGTAAGCGATCTCAGCTCGACGAAATCTGAATTTGTATGGCAAGAAGATTTGGTTCTTGCTCAGCTCGACGAAATCTGAATTTGAAGGTGAGGTTTGTACGGCAAGATCACGAGCTTCTCTGCTCGGCGAGATCAGGTACTTGTTCTGCTCGTCGAGGCGCATCCCTGCTCAGCAAGATCAAGTAATTGTTCTGCTCGTCGATGTAATAATACTAATATTATTACGACAAATAAATTAATAACTATTGTCATTTTAAATAAGTTTATTACATGTCGACTAAAATATTATGCCATACAGTACTATATTTTTAAAATAAATAAAAATAACTCTAAATCTACATGCAAATAATAATATAAGTTATTATGGTAAATAAATTAATACCATTGTTATTTAAATAAGTGTATTACTAGGTTCGTGCCCGTGCATTGCTACGGGACAGCTAAACTTTTGTATTACAAACACACAGATCGCACGATAAGATAACAATACTGTGAAATTAAATAGCGACGTTAAAGTGACATTTAATTAAAAAACAAAGTTCGTGACATTAACCAACCTGTTCGGGAGGCCGTATCGTATCGTGGATTATTTACTGCTGGCTGGTTTGGTGTGAGAGAAAAACACTGTTCTCGGCTGGAAATTTACGATCGTTTACGAGGAAGCGAACAGGCTGAACACAACCCAGAGAGCGCGGCGTCGCAGGCTTACAAACCCTACTGTATAGACCTTTTCCGTAAAAAGAATGACGAGGGAAAAAAATAAGAAAGCGTCAAATAAAAAAGATAAGGATAAGAAGACCCCAATAGCGATGGAACTTTCACGAAGAATGTTGTATTTAAGGAGGTTCTAATGCCATAGGCGAGGTAACAGAACATTACTAACGCATACAATGCATTTTTTCCATTTAATTTATATTGTACAAATAATATCTCGCTAATGCCATATTTGTTGTTGTTCCTACGTATTTTTAAATGGTTTATCAGACTCTACACGGAAATGTTGTATATACACTTGTGTGATAGCATAATAAAAATTGAACATGTGTTATATTATTGTTATAAAAATGACACTTTGAGTGTTTTGTTCATAATATCTCGTTTTGTAATCATTCATAACTATTACACGTGTATGTTCTCAAAACCATGAGTTTTGTTGAATTTTCCCACTTTTCTCATGTGTCAATGTGGGATCAACCGAATTAGCACCTGCATAATTATAAACATAAATTACTTGAATAAAACCAACGAAACAAGTTAGCGATAATAATGAACAATAGTGCTAAACAACACCATACTAGTGGTCGTGGGATGGCACGATCGTAGTGGCGTTGGTTCCGCTCATTCAGGAGGATAGCTCCTTTGTATTTTCCATTGTTGCACCAGGGTCATTAGTTTGTGAGCACAAAAGAAATGGATATCGGAGATTTCTTCCTGTTAATATAAAACATTATTTTAGCCGTATCATAAAAATGTCTATAAAGTAGAGTTTGTGAGCCTGCGACGCCGCGCATTCCGTAACTGTGTTAAATTCATAAACTTTATTTTTTTGGATTAAATGTCACTTTAACGTTGATATTTAATGTTTACAGTATTGTTATTTTATCGTGCGATCTATATATTTTTAGTATAAAATATTAGCTATTCTGTAGCGACGCACGGATACGCTATCTAGTAGGCTAAAAGGCTACAAACAGTGCCTAATATACGGGCCGGGTTCAGCTGGGGTTGTTCCGGGTCCCCGCTGCCGAAGGTACTGTCGGCCGCTTGCTTAAGCCCACGACAACAACTCACCTCCCGGGCCTACCTCGCAGTCTCTAGAAACAAACAGCGCCAATGTGCTAATCTCTTTTGCATTGGGCTCGGCAATCCTGACCCGATCAAAGACGTAGGTACCCCCAAATTTCCCCTCGCGGAGCCACGCGGATCGAGTCCCCGTCGAATTCGCCTCTGCCTCCTGCTCGATCCGGTGGCCGCGAACTCGCCGCTGTCGGATCGTCTTCGCTGGGGCGATTAAGCTACGGGATTTGAAGAGATCTAAGCGAGTCGCGGGCAGCAGCCATGAGCGAGGTGTTCGAGGGCTACGAGCGGCAGTACTGCGAGGCGTCCGCCTCGCTCTCCCGCAAGTGCACCGCTGCCTCCGCCCTCGATGGAGGTAAGCAAGATTCCAATGTTTAATATGATCCCCCTTTGTGATTCCGTTGGGGAACACCTGCTTTGTTGATTGTTTTGGTCTGATTCGGTGGTCCTATCTGCAGAGAAGAAGAAGCAGAAGCTGTCCGAGATCCAATCCGGCATCGAGGAAGCTGAATCGCTGGTAAATAGATGCCGCAACGCATTCTATTCTGGGGATCCCCTTGGCTCGCTGGATATAAGACATCGACGCCTTCAGTTCTGCTCAATTGATTTGGGGAGCGGGTAGAAAAGTAGAGATTAGGGATTTTTTCGTTTCCATCGGTACAGTTTTGGTGTTCTGAGGGAGCTGTGAGATGTTTATGTGCCTTGGTCTTCATTTTGGGGGTTTGGGGAGAGTAATTTTATGTTTTCGTTTTATGTGTTTGCAGATTCGGAAGATGGACCTGGAGGCAAGGAGCCTACAGCCTAGCATTAAGGCTGGTTTGCTTGCAAAGCTGAGGGAGTATAAATCTGACCTTAACAACGTCAAGAGTGAGCTTAAGAGGATATCAGCGCCCAATGCCAGGCAGGCTACCCGGGAGGAGCTCCTGGAGTCTGGAATGGCTGATACTCTCGCGGTGAGCTTAATACTAGGACCTTTTCAGGACTGTGTCTACAAATTGTTCAGCTATGCTTAATGCTTCAATGCATAACATATCACATCAGGGCATTTATCATAGATTGCATGAGAGCAAAAGCGTCATAGGTCCAATGTCTATGAGCTAGAAATAACTGATAAATATCTGTGTTTGTACTTTTAAATGTGGATGTGATATTTCATATCAGGTGATTTGGTTTGTACTGAAATGATCAATAGTTTTTCTTTTTTGTCCTCAGTATTATTATACCTATATAGGTGGGTGGAATATTAGTTATACAGTCTAAATGATTGATAGTGCTATATCTGTTATTTAGTTGCATTTTGCTTGCAACATTGTGCATCACTGTAACAATGGGACATGTGAACTAGGAATTAGTTCAATGAATGATTTACACGTGCATGTTGGTAAATCCAGCTGGATTACTACATTACATTTTGGCCTTTCACTTTCTTTCTTTTTTTCAATTTTGGATATCCAAGTTTTAGCACTGTGGCCCTGTGGCAGGATCCTGCCAGCATGTTTATATATGTTCTCACTTCTCACAAATGCATTTCTGACCATCAAGTTTAATCGATGGCTTTCCTTATTTACATGCTTAGATGGCACGATTACAACTTTTGTTCTATAGGAATATGTGCTGCATATTCGAACATAGATGGATATATCAGATAGTTTCACCTTTTCATCCTGATATACTATATTTTTAAATTTTGATTTGGATTCTTAATACTGTACCTTATACTACACCACAGATTGGCATCTGTGTGGCTCATGTGGCCCTTAACTAACTGTGCTTCACTTAAATTTTATGATGTTGGTAGCATAGGGTTACCCTTACCGCGAACATCTTCATATTGGTAATGGATGAATGAAAACAGTGGAAGACATGATAGAAGCAAGAAATCCTTTGTCTCATCCTATATCTCTGTAATATTCTGTTTGTCACTAAATAAGATAGAACCATTACATTTATAAAAAGAAATTTACATGTGATGGATGACTTTTCTGTTCTTAGTCTGACAAAAGTAAATCACATGATAGTATTGCCCTTATTGCAAGTTACCTGTCAATGTCTATTTACATAAGAAATGTTCCTCAAGTAATACAAATAGTTCTGGCACCAGCTGAACTTAAGGCACTATAAGCTCATTAGTTGTTTTGGAATGTTGTTTAATATCTAGTAAAGTGATTTGATTACCTATGTTTCTTATTCCTCGATGTCAGTGTACAATAGGACTGCTGCCTCTACATTCCAGTTGCATTTATTTTGGTTATGCTGGTTTGATTTATTGAGGCCTTTTGTCTCAGGCTTCTTACAGTTTTTTTTTACTCATGTCATACTTGGGGGACTCTCCCATGGCTCAGGTGTCTACTGATCAGAGGGGAAGATTGATGATGACAACTGAAAGACTGAATCAGTCCACTGACAGGATTAAAGAGAGCCGAAGAACTATGTTGGAGACAGAAGAACTTGGTGTCTCAATTCTTCAGGACCTTCACCAACAGCGACAGTCACTACTACATGCTCATACTACTGTATGTACCTGTCTCAGCAGCACTTCCTATTATATAGATTTACTTTCTGGTCGTTTTCTGATTTTACTGGTAGAAATGCTGCAATGGTTGTTGCTAACAAAACCTATATAACAGCACTACTAATTTAGTTCATTGACTGCGCTCTATCTTGGCTTTATTCATAGCAAGCTCAGCTTGGATTTTGTTTTGTGCAGAACTTTTTTATGAAAATTAAATGTTAGTTATCTTTTTTCTGTGGTTCACTGTTGAAATCTTAGTGATTTGTGTAGTATTGGTGTTGAGCGTGTGCTTTTTTTCCCTTTATGTTTTTTGTTCCTTATTTTTTTTGCTGGTTTTATGTGTTGTCGGTGGACCCTTTTCTCCTTAATATAATGATGTGCATCTTTCCTGTGTGTTTTAGAAAGTTGTACAAATATTCTGTTAGGTGTGCTGGGCTACAATCTCGAAATCTGTCTCCCAAATAACTCATCACCATTCTCCTTTTTATTTTTTTGACGATCCAGACTAGATTTTTTTTTATTCGTGACCTAAGTGACTCTATCTCATCACTCCATATGGATACTTAATATTGTTTTGCTACATTAACTGGAGTAAAGATTAGATTGTACTCCCTCCGTTCCAATTTATATGTCGTTTTGGCTTTTCTAGATACACAACTTATATATCTAGACATATTATATATCTAGGTGCATAGCAAAAGCTATGTACTTAGAAAAACCAAAACGGCCTATAATTTGGGACAGAGGGTGGTACTTCAGGAATTTAGACTGTCTTGTGCTTCTGTGCACACGTTAAAGATTATATTTGATCGCAAAAAAGTTGAAGATTATATTGTACTTCAGGAAGTTTAGACTGGTGTTGTATTTTCTTGAACACTTGTAGGACATAGTACATTTCGTGAGGGTGTGCGTGCATTTTGTTCTGCATTATGTGATGTCTTTACTATATGGATGAGGAATTTTAGTGCAAAGGATTGGTGATTGCATTAAAAAGGGAAAGATCCTTAGTTAAAAAAGGTGCATGCAAAACATGTAACCCGTTCCTTGTTGAAATTGAATATCAGAATTATACCTCTGCAGCTGCAATGAGTTCAGTAGGTAATCTAAAGAGTAAAGTAGATCAGTGGCCCCCAAACTTGTTTGACAGTGTCACCTAGATCCCTGAACTATTGATCTGCATGTCTGGGTCTTAATTGTGCCACTCTGATTGCTGATGTGGCTGGCCAGCATGGACATCTGAAAGAAAAATGATGTTATGGGATGACATGTGGGTCCCACTGGATCTTTTATTTTTGTCATCAGCTATCATGTTTGAATGATGAACTGTAAAAACGTGCTGACATGGATGCTGCGTAGATGCTAAGTAAACACATAAACATTTACCCCAAGTGAACCACCTAGTAAGTTTAGGGACCCAAATATGCAAATTAATAGTTCAGGGACGTAGCTGACACAACTGAACAAATTTGAGGACTGCCGATGTATTTTAAGCTATATCACAAAATTGTGTTGCTAAAATACTGCACCATAGTGTGTACATTCTTGGTATGTTAATCTGCTTTGTGTTGTGCGCGCACATTCGTGTGTTAGAACTTTCGTATTTGTGTGTATTATTGAGATTTGATACCCTCTTGCTCATAGTTGCACGGAGTTGATGATAACATTGGCAAGAGCAAGAAGATCCTGGCTGCAATGTCAAAGAGGATGGATAGGAACAAGTGGATCATTGGAGGAATTATCACGGCTCTCGTTCTGGCCATCCTTCTCATACTCTACTTCAAGCTCGCTCATTAAGCCTGCCTGCAGGTAGGTTCCCCCCACATATTTGTGTTCAGTAATTGTGTGATAAGAGTTGTCTGAATGCTGTGTATTGAGCAACACGCGGCTCTCCGAGCATCATTTGTTCCCCCCAAACCTGTAAACTTCCGTGGCTCATGTTGTGTACAGTCAATATACTTCCAACTATGTAAACTGTCTAAAGAGTGAAAAAATTTTACTTGGTGTTGAGTCTCATGTGCCTAACGCACGTTGTTCTGTCATGTTAAACTAGAGAGGTTACTAGAGCAGTATGTACTTCCTCCGACCCAAAATAAATCAACTTCTAGAGTTGTCCTATGTCCAACTCACTATTTTAAGTTTGACCAAACTTGTAGAAAAAAACCATCAATATTTGTAATACCAAATTAACATCGTTAGATACATTATTAAATATATATTTTCATAGGGAAATTATTTTCTACTCCCAGGGAGTAGTTACTCCCATGTGTATATCTTTACATTTATGGTGTATATGGCCTGACGAAGTGTATGTTGGCGAAGTATATGATCATATTAGACCATCTAGGTAGTATGTATGTCAAGCATGCAAGTATACTTTAAGTATATGGTTATACTTATTTTATATATACTGCTAGAATACTATTAAATTAATATGTTAAAAAATATGAGTTCTTTTGAATTTTTTTTACGTAGGTATGATTTGGAGTATCATAAAATGAGTATATAAACACACTCAATTTGATAAATGAGTATGCACACATACACAATGTGGTTTATTGAAGGTGGGTGTAACTACTCCTTGGAGTAGGAAAAATGCACCCTATTCTCATAATGTTACTCTTTGGTGTTATAAACGATATTACTCTTTTCAATAAATTTGGTTTGGTCAAACCTAAGATAGTTCGACTCTAGTGATTCTAGGAATTGATTTATTTTGGGACGGAGGTAGTAACTGTTATGCTTGCATCGGCCTATTTGAACTGCTGTAGCTGTCTGTCTTGGAATTATTGTGATTATTAGTCAGCTCTGTGGCTAGTCTGTTATTGTTGTCGCGTTAGGGTTTGTGCAGATGCTTCCTGAATGATTGAAGAGTGGTACTCCTAGACTAATAGGTGGGCCTTGGCAGCTATCTAGTGTGCATGCGCAGAAGGTGCAGGTCCATCGGTGCTGCAGTAACTTCAGTTGCAGAGCTAGGTTGGCAAGTGGGATAAGCGATGAGGCAAGCGCATCTTGTGCTTGATCTGCATCCATTTTGGATAGGGGGAAATGGGCACTGAGCATCAGGGTTTGATGTGATGCATGGTGAATTGTTGATAGGCAATAATGATCCGCGGGATGCCTGGCCAGGGTAGGATGCCATGGATGGGAACGGACTGTGGTTGGTACTGAAGAGGACATCACAGGAACGACTTGTGTACAGTTGGGGAGAGACTTGGTGTAGGAGCTACTGCGATCAGTGTTCAGCACTACTGTGCCTTTGGTACTGTATCTTGCACATACAGCCGGTAAAACAAGCTAGTTCTCACTCGTGACTTACGAGGAAATGTTTCACCACCATCGGCACAATCACAGGGTGCCTTTCCATTGTCGATACTCGATACTGAAACAGGGGGCGATCAAGGATCAAATGTGACGACTAAAACGGTCGAGGTGGTTGTATATATACCCTGCACTACGCATTATGTTCACACATACAGGCTCGCCATTTACGCTCCGTCATATATTGTAATGCACGAGTGTACTATATACCATATATTTTCCTTGAAGCAAAATGAAACTCTGAAAAGTAGTACGTACCAGTAACGATTGTATTTTTTCTTCGCGTACGTGCGTCATTATATGATATAATAAAATAAATTCCCTGGCGTTCGTTTCTTACATGCATCTGGTCAAACGGACTAGCTAGCGAAGTCCGTTGCTGCAATCATAAGCAAGAAAAGAGCTAGCTAGCCTGCAACATCTTATTCCCTTTCCCACTGGAGCGATATGATCGATCGTGGTCAGCAGTCAACACACACCTCCCTCCCCATATCGGGTCCGTTCGCTGGTTTGAAACTTGGTTGAAAACACTATTCCGGCTGAATTGTTGTGAGAGAAAAACACTGTTCCGACTATAAAAAAGCCGAACAAGTCGAATATAGGGGTAAGCCGAACAGGGCCATCGTCACTTGCCGGCTCTCGATCGTCTTTTCAACGACGCTACGACGCAGGGAACCGCCGCCGAATGTGCCGATCGTCTATCTGTTCGGTTGCTCCTCCTCCCGCGGGGCCACCGCGACGAGCCGACGGCGAGAGAAACTGAGACTTCCTGAAATCACGAAGGGGAGGCCGGAGCCCGGAGGGGAAAATTGGGTGGAGCCAAAAGAAATTTGGAGCGCGCGTGTCTGAATTCTGGCCGACGCGCGGCGGAAAATCGATCCGTCCGTTCCGTCGCGTGCTTCGCTTCGCTTCGTAACTTTGTGCTACATATAGGTGGCTGATGATGATATGACTTCCTGTCCTAGAGACGTAGATCGAGTTCTTGGTTCAGTTTTTTTTTGAATTATAACAACTGATAAAGTGTTCTCGTACAGATTGTTCAGAAAATTAAGCTGAGGCCCAACGAAAATAATGACCAGTCAAACCAAAGCAAGACCTCAAAAAAGAAGGGTGCATGTCGGGCTGTTGGCAGGGTGCACTTTTTTTCTCCGCCTAGTACTGCATAGCTCCAGTAAAATAGAAAAGGTAACAAGTCCCGTATGCGTATATGTGACGCGCTACCTCTCCATGGCCATCCGATCGCGTTCTTTCCAAGCGGAAGCGATCGGATGGCCGCATGGGCGCACGGCCAGCGTCCCTGTGGATTTTATTTACCGGGCCGGGGCGAGCTAGAGCGCCGTGCGTGCATGCAGCAGGGTGACCAGCTGCCAGTCGGCCCTAGTAGAGTAGTAGCAGTAGGATTCGTGCGTGCATGTGGGGAGCAAACGCGCTGCAGGAGGGCCGCACGCGCCTTTTGGAGCCGGCCGGTGTTCTTCTCAAGGCGCACGCCTTGCATTGGTCTCGACACGAATTCAGGGGAGCGGACGCGGCAGGAGGCGCAGCCTCTGGCCTCTGCCGTGCCGTCGTTGGCAGAGCCAGCGCGCGCTGCTTCCCACACTTGCATGCATGGGGGTCAGCCCCAAAGGGAATGTCTTTTGGCATCGGGCAGCCCAACAACCAGGCCCTACAATGTGGTGCCCGTCCGGCCCCGGTCGTCGGTCGGCGGTCGATGCCGTTCCTCCACCCACCGGCTATAGGGGTAGTAGTAGGGCTACTAGTTAGCCCAAAAGCGCCCTGTAAAAGTGCATGCGTGATGCAAGCTGCACTGTGCAGTGCTGTGCTACTCCCTCTCTCTCTCTAGCTAGCTAGCTGCACGTACTGTGTGCTCTCATGACACGAATGAACAACGAGCGAGGAAAGGAAGAGGAGAGAGGGACAGCAGCAGGAGAAGAGAACTCGGTGAGAGAGAGAGCTGAGAGAAGACCACCGATCGAGTAGGAAAAGGGCGTACGGGCGCCGCCTTGCATTGGGCACTTAATCATATGTGCCATGATTCATTCCACCACCCCTCAACGCCACTAGCGATCGCGACAGGTACAGCCCACGCACTGGCGCGCGCCTAGTATGGAGGAGATGAACGGCTCCGGCCGGTGTGACGCATGGCGCCCGCCGCGCGCGACATCGAGCGTGCATGCGTCTCGTCTAGGGTTTCCCCCCCTCCTGCTCTGCTACTAGATAGCTTTTGCAATGCATATATATGATACATCGATCGACGATGACTTGACAGTAGCAACGCTGACTGTCGATCCATATATAGTAGATGCATATGCATGAGGGCATGCGGCTCGCTGGGATAAAAAGGTATCGTCAGCAAAAGGCCCTTTCCGTGTTAAGTTAACTAACATAATCCCGTATTCCCGTGCTTTGCAGATCAGATAAAAAGACGAGATATACTCGCTCCAGGATAAAAAGACGAGAGAAAGATGAATTTAGCTAGCTAGATAGATAGATAGATAGATATAGCATCTCTCTCGTCTTTGTTGATCAGAAAGCTCTCCGGCCGGCTAGCCTACCTTGGCGCCTAGCTAGCTCTGCGTATCTCGCTCCCTCTCTCCCTTTTTGCGTTCAGCTACTAGGAAAAGATATTTCGTTGGGTTGGATGCAAAAAGGGCCGAGGAAAAAGTGGTTAATCATGCACAAAAGTAGCAGCAGAATATATATATATATATATATATATATATATATATATATATATATATATATATATATATATATATATATATATATATATATATATATATATATATATATATATATATATATATATATATATATGCAATTCGCTAGCAAGATTGCCAGAGCCTCATGTTGTATCCAGCAATGATCGAATCAGCTGTTGTTTTCGGTCGCACCTTAGACACCACACCGAGTTTGTGACGACTGACGACTTGCATTTATGTTGTACTCCGATGTGCAACAGTGAGGCAAGACCAACTTGGTTTTGGTTATGTTCCTCGTAGAGGAACCTGTCCATCTAAGTTTTACTCCCTCCATTCAAAGAAAATGCAATTCTCATTTTCTGACGAGTTAAATAAATCCAAGTTTGACCAAATTTATAGAAAAAAATACTATATTTATGATGATAAATAAGTATCATTTGACTTCTTTTTGCGGACATTGTCGTAATATGTATTTCATTTGATTGATTATCAAGGTTTTAAATCTCCGACTAAGCTCTTTAGCTGTTGCCCTACTTACCAGCTAAATGCAGCTATCGCCGGAGATATCTGCAGCTAAGACATTTAGCTGTTTTTGCAAAAATAAAAAAAACACACATCTGCCAAGGTGTTGGTGTTGTTGGTGCTGCTTCTTGGGATTATGGGAGAAGATAACCGGAATGTTGTAGTCGCCGTCGCTCGTGTTGCCTCCGCCGCCGATGCCGGAATGGGGAAGATGAAGAACTGAGTTGGGGAAGACAAAGAACGGGAGTGTGCTGCTCGTGCTGCCTGCGCCGATGCTCGGCTGCACACCGTGGCCGCTGCTCGTGCTGGAGCCGCCGCCGCAGCCGTTCCTGTTGGCCGCCGCCGCCGCCGCTTGTCCAGGGACCGCGCTGCCACCGCAGTCTTATGAAGGAGGAGAAGAAGCGTAGGCAGCAGCCGCTGCTTGGGAGCGCAGCCAGGCCGCACGGCCGTCTCCGGCCCGCCGCCGCCGGAAGAGAAGCCGCCGCCGCCGCCGCGTGCTCTTTTTTTTCCGAGACCAAGAGAGACCGACGCTCGTGGGTGGAAGTGGAATGAGTGAATGACCGAGTGTTAGGGTTACGGGATGGGGGTGGGCTGGGACTCAAGCTGGGCCGTGCTTCCTTGTTGGGCCAGGCCGGCCGCGTTTCACAATTTAGTTGCGCTAAATTAAGGCCAGTTTAGCGGCTATTGCCGATTAAATGACGCTATTAGCGTCCCGCTTTTCTTAGCGCAAAAAACTGCATCGCTTAGCTGCTTCCATCCCCAGCAGCTATCTCCGGCTATAAGCTGAGCTATAGCCGGAGATTTAAAACTTTGTTGATTATACAATATATTTTAATAGTATACTTATTTACTAATGTAAGTATTGATATTACTTTCTATAAACTTAGTCAAATTTAATAAAGTTTGACTTGTCCCAAACCTACAATCACATTCTTTTTGGGACGGAGGAAGTAAATCTTCGACTTAACATGTATATCTAATTATTGTTTTAGTGGTAGCTAGTAGGTGGCGTGAACATTCACCCTGTTCGCTGGTTGGTTTCAGTCAGGCTTATTCAACCAGCCAACAGTGTTTTCCTCTCACAACAAATCAGCACCAACTAGCCCAAACCAGCCCAGAAACCAACCAGCGAACACGTCGATTAACAATGAGCCGGTTACATTGACTTTTATCAATCTCAATATATATCAGCCTAGTCGTCTCTCATATGTGCTCATAATGATATGCGTGTGTGTATATGCATTTGTTTCCTTAAAAAACAATAAGGCAAGAAAATAGCACCGTACCATTTATGTTCTTTTTGCTGTTTTTTTTTGTATTTCACAATATTTGAGGAAGATGCGACTTTGAAAAAAAATCCAATTATGCAGCTTCCATAGAACAAGTATGTGGCTTTGAGATAAAACATATGGATCAGCTTAACCAATTTTAACAACGTTGGTTCTACCTAAATACAATACAAACCTTTTATATGTTCGAGAAAAAAACTGCGTTGGTTCTAGGACATCCTGTACAAACGAAGAGGTGCAAGAAGTTCAGGCCCTTGTTTAGTTGCTCCCAACTCCCAACTTTGACACTATGCAAAAAGAAGATTCCCCGTCACATCAAACTTGTGGTACATGTATGGAGTACTAAATGTAGACGAAATAAAAAACTAATTGCACAGTTAAGTTGTACTTTGCGAGACGAACGTTTTGAGCCTAATTAGTCAACGATTGAACAATTATTACCAAATACAAACGGAATGCTACAGTGCGCTGCAGCGGCGCACAGTAAATCCGGCGGCGCCGAATTCGGCCAACTAAACAAGGCCCAGATTACATTTGGATCATCGATTGGGTCTTGTAAGAAACACTGTCTACATTTTTCAGTTTGGTCATCATCACCATCGTTCCCTCGTTCTTCCTGCAGTCTCTCTCTCTGCTACAGCAGTACAGCTGCATCCATCGATCACTTAATTAACAATGCGGCGAATCCAAACTTAATTTGCACATATATGTGTAATTACAACCTTAAATACCGTGCTGTAGTATTAGTATCTACTATACGTAGTACTAAGTACTCATGATAGACGAACATATCATCATCAGTAAGTACGACGGCCGTAATCTACTAACAAAGAGACCTGACCAAGAAACAGTATGAAATGAAACAGCAACATGCATGCATGAGTATCGTCGTCCACTCTGGAGTCGATCTGGACGACAACAGTCATACAAGAACAGTTACTACAACAGTAGTTTGCTGCTAGTATTCGACGATCCGCTCGGATTTACATACCCAGCTGGAGAAATAATGTTACTGCTCCTTCCTGCTGCAAATCCGAGAAACCCTGCAGGATTATTGCTGCCGCCGCCGCCGTAATAGTTGTATTGCTGCGACCTGCTTGCTGTGCTGCTGCTGATGGTGCTCGTGCTGTTGTTGGTGTTGGTCGTGCTGCCTAGGGTTTCCAGCGCCTGGACCTGAGACTTGAGGAACTTGAGGTAGCTGGCCGCCTCGTCCAGCATGGACGCCGTGTCCATCTTGCTGCCCCCGGGGACCAGCTTCTGCAGCACGCGCAGGCGCTCGCTCACGCGCTCCCGCCGCAGCCGCGCCGCCACCGTCTGCGGGTCGCTCGAGATGCGCACGTTCTTCCGCCGGGGCCTCTCCGCGGCCGCCGCGGAGACGACCTCGGGGCCCAGGTTGACAGGCCGCATCGCCGCCGCGCGGTAGATCATCTCCTTCAGCTGCGCCATCGCCTCCATGTCCAGCTCGTACCCGGCGGCGCTGGGATCGCGCGCGACATGGCCGGCGCCGCCGAAGCTGATGCTCGTCGTCGCTGCAGCACGCCGCTTCGCGCCGCCGCCGGCGAGCCGCGGGAACGGCGCCGGTGGCGGTGCAGTTATTGTTGTTGCGATGGCGGTCGTCGCCGGGTACTCATCGCTCACGATGACCTTCCTCTTGACGTGGTGGTGCGCCTCCTGATGGGTCTGGGAGTGGGATGACGCGTGGGAAAACGTTAACGGCGGCGCTGGCGCCGTGGTGGTTGGTGACATGATGGACGTCGGCGACACCACCTCGGCGTCGTGCCCGCCGCCGCCACTGTAGTTGTTTGACTCCCCAGAGGATATGTTTCCGCCGGTGGTGCCGCTGTAGCTGGAGAGCATGGCGCCGCCGTTGGACACGGCCCCGCCGTTGCCGAGCTCCCTGGTGAAGGCGAGCGCCGCGTCGAGTAGGCCAGCGTCGAAGACATCCCCCGTCCCCGCGCTGAAGAACGCGAGCGGGTCACCGTAGTCCATACCCGCGCCGCCTTCGATGGCACCCGCATTCGAGCTCACCTGGCACGCTCCGGCGTCGCCGCCGCCGCCGCCGCCAATAAGGGCCCCGTCGCACTGGAGCTGCCCAAAGCACACCCCAAGGAAGGCCTCGTCCATGTCGAACCGGCCGCATCCAGCTGCCTGGCGCGAGAAGTATTCGTCAACATGGTGGCCGGCGCCGGCCCAGCCAAAGGTAGCGTCCATCGCCGCCGGCCCTCTGCGCCGAGGAAGCTGAAACACGACTGGCGCAGGGATTCTGGGAGGACGCTACACGACGACTGTACACTGCACAAAAGAGGAAGCTTCGAGCGTTAGACAAGTTCTTAGCCATACGTACGTATGTACGAAAGGAAGACTGCTCCGATCCATCTACATCGAAGAGGGAATCCAAATCGAGTTGTGGAATGAACGTCAACAAACTGTTGCACGGCCATGGCATTGATGAAGGGACAAGGACGGGGGGAGGGAGATGTCTCGAATGAACCTCATAATTACAACTGTATATGTATTCTTTTCCACACCAAACCATGAGACTGGAGTAAATATATATGTAGCTCATCAAGAACTACACATGCAAGAACAAGATCTAGCTCATGTTGCATATGTGAGAACGAGGTCTTCTTCTTTTATTTATAATTAACCGAAAGATTTTCACTGCTATATATAGTTAAATTCTTCAGCCGGGACCGGGAGCGAGGTGACTGATGATTAAGCCAGGATGTTTGAATTCGGACGCATGAAATCACGTGTGCTAATTATGGAGTACAAGTAAACAGGACCTGTGTGTGTTCATACCTTCCCTATCAATCGCGACCGATTGATGATTGATGGCTAAAACGATGGGACAACAGCACAACCCCGCTTAATTCGCTTCTTTCTTCGCCGACGGATCGGAGCGCACCGTCACGCGGCTGCCAACAGCCGCCCTTGGACGGTGCGGTGGTGCTGAGCCGCCGACGGCCGGTGTAGATGAGCGAGATGAGCTCGCCCGGACGAACAACCGGCGAGGCGAGTAAAGAAGAGAGTATGTATATATATCTGTGTCCAACGACATTGGTTATGAGTTAGCTAGTATGCTGGAATACTAGTCTAGTACCACCACATACACAGAGAGTGCAAATACACACACACACAGTCCTAACGAGGAGGCGTGTGCAGTAGGTATATATAGTACCTGCAGCAGCAGTGTCTTTGCTCAGCTGATGAGCTACTGCTAATTGATTGACCAATCAATCAGCAACGGGATCGAGCGGCCGGCGGCCTGGCTTCGCGGAAGCGCTAGCTCTCGCTGTTCGAGTTAGCTTATGCAAGAGAGCGGACAGCGGGAAGGGGGAGGAGAAAGAGGAGATAGGCCGGGGTGGAGACACAGCACCGATCATGCATATGTGTGTGGGATATATGGTCCTCCTGTTGATGGCTGCATATGGGTTGCTTCTTTTATAGATGCCTAGCTATGCCTGTTTCGGTATTTCCTCCTCTCTCTCTCTCTCTCCTTGCCTACTTTATTAACTGTCTCTCTATTTTCTTTTGGGAAAAAAATCTTCCTTGAGAAAAAGATGGTGCGGCACTGTGTTCGGTTGGGGAAGATGAGTAGATGACGCTGAGTGGGCGGCACATGAACATGCATCCATCTACAGCTGACGCGCTCTCATAAATACTTGCCCAAAATCTGTAGTCCTCTTTTGTATCTATCTATCCATCGATATACGCCACTGTTACGTGTTACACGTGTCCAGTGTTAGCTAGATTCTGCTAACACAAAGAATGTTCACTTTTCATCTGTTCTCTAAATCAGAACCGGCTCGCCGTGCATATATATAGATTGCCAATAACAGTACAAAATTTTACAGAAAATGTTGACAGCAGTAGCGTATCCGCGTATGTATGTATGCTCTCCGAAGTTCGCGAGCAGAATACAAAGTAGTAGCAGATTTTTCAAGGAAAAGGTTTCTACAGCTTTCTCTGCTGGTCTGGCTCCGATCTGGGGGCTCTGCAAGCTTTGTTCGCCTTTGGCACCGCAGCAGGCAGAAGAGGGGAAAAAAGATTGACGGCTGCCACGCCCTCCCTGCAGCCCGCTTCAGGGTGCAGTAACTTTCTGTGGACGCTCTCCGTCGCTTTTTTTTGCCCATTTTTGAGAGGAACAACAAGGCCAGTGAGCAGCATAGCAGGTCTCATCTGCAGCCTCCTGCTGAGGCATCACAATTCACAGGGGAGTTTGTAGCTTTGTGTTCCTGGACGTGCACGCATGATTCCCTTGCCTGCCCGACGTATGACTCTGATGACCATGCATGCATAGGGCTGTAATGATGATATATTCACTGCACCCGGTAGAAGGTAGCAACAAAGCAACAAAGTTTTACTGAAAAAATAGTGGACTGATCAACAGTCGTCAGTCGGTGAAACCTTTCTTCAGAGTACTCAGATTTCCTCTCAGAGTGCAGAGCAAGAGGACACAGGAAGCTACATCAGGTTGCTGACGATGATTAACGATGAAGTGGACACACACACACACACACACACTAGTTCAATTTCCTTAAAAATGCATTTTTTTCATGGTTTATTATTGCTGCACATATATATTAGTCTGTTTCCCCCCTTCAGTAATTCAAATAAGATAGGAGACCACGCCAAATCTGCGTGTGCTGATGGGATGATGGGAGATCAGGACCACATTGACGATGATAGGAAACCAATTTTACAAGGCTAGCCAGACTTCATCAATTAGAGAAATTGTTTACACAAGGAGTGCTTACTGCGCTGAGCATCTCCGAGAGTTTCCTAAATCCCTTCCTATTCCTTGGATTTTAGCAAGATGAGAAAAAACCTCTCTCCAACGATTCCTAATCCATCCTCCTAATCTTTTAGAACTTGGGAAAAAGTCACCCTGTTCCGCGTAAAGTTACGCGCTTCCGAGTTGTGCGTATCTTCTCTCTCACGCGTGTTTGTCGGCCAATCTAAAGATGGAAGGATATGAGAAGAATAAAGAGTAGGAAAAAGTTCCTGATGCAAATATACAAGAGAGAAAGAATATATAAAAGTGGTTAAGATAATTTAGAAATAGTATATGATTGCTGATATAAAATTAGTATATGATTGCTGATATAAAATTGTCTTCTATATTTTAGGAGTGGATTATTAAAAACTCTTGAAGATGTCCTTCTTTATTCCTTCCAATACTTTTTTAAGAGCCGTAAAACTTCATGTTTTTAGGAAGAAAATATTGAAAGACGCGTCAATTCCAAGTATATATATTGATGATGCAGCATAACGTAGAAGGTTTTGTCGTCTAGGCTGCCGGTGCTGCTGCAGCTCCTCACAGCAGTCGGCACCCGCGGCCCTGTTTTGGCTCCTGTTTACGTGTATTTTGTTGATTTTTTCTTTCCCACCTAATGGAGAGGTTTGCTATTTGTCTGGATCATGCCGCTAATTAATGAGATTCTTTTTGAGAAACCACTAAGATGCTGGTGGTATATAGCCCTCAGCCCACGGTAAAGCATAGAGGGACAAACTAGTGCTAGCCTGGTTATAGATTTTATGCACATGCATGGTGCTTAGGCTCTCATATCGATCAGCTAGGGAAAAGCTACTCTAATTTATCTATGAAAGGAAAAGTACACTTGGGAAAGTAAAAAAATTCAAGTAGTGTTGAGTATGCTGACATGATCGATCTGCATCTTGTTTTTTAGGGAGTTGTCTGCAATATGATAAGGTGGGGAGAACATGTGGATATGTACAGTCCATGGGAATGTCCTAAGAAAGTAACATTGTTTAAGGGCAAGTAACTCAACTTGCTCCAAGCATATATACATTTGTAATTTGTAATGGAGTTCTAATGTACGTACTGTATTAATTATTTGGTTGGGAGGCACATGACTAGTAGCTTTGTCTTCATCTGGTTAAGCATACCATCCATTCTTTTCGTGGGAACTTATAATTCTGATTAGACGTTGAAGACAAAGTGCAGATAGAACCACTTTAAATATGTGCTTGTAATCATAAAAAATGACACGCATAGATAGAAGTATTTCAATTCTGTGATTAGACCTTTCATAGTATCCGTGATGCTTATCTTGTTTTTATTTCCGTAACTCCATATACTACAAAACTTTATTTGCTGTACATTTATTTAATCATCAATGTGCAATCAGGTTCTGATAATTAATAATACACAAGGCAGTGTGTACACATCAAAATATATACAGCCCCCAGTGAGCAGTGCCCTCCTCACATGGACTGCTGCTCGAAACTGTGAGCACACGCCAGCTCTAACGACAATTCTGACGACGAGCAAATGCAGGCATTGTCGTCTACCAGACGTACTGTAGATTTTCTATAAAAGAGTTGCAAAGAAAAGGGAAAGAGTCATTTTCCAGAGGCAAAGAAATTCAGTGCCGGCCGAGCAGTGAGAGAGTTTGGTTGAATATTCTCTCCCCAGCTGAATAAAGTCGACGTGAGCAAATCGCATTTGTAGTAACTAACAAAGATGTAGGTCCAACCACCTGTGCTGTGCTCTCTCTCGGCTGCGCCATTTTTTCATTCCTGCAAAGTTGCCACTCCGTCAGCGTCGAGGGGCTGCGTCATTGCATACTCTACCACGGCTCTGCGTGCAGGCCTCTGGAGCGGAATTGAATTGAAGGCCGGAGGTGCCCGATCGATCTATCGAAGCCCTCTCATCATCAATTCATCATCTGCTTCTGCTTCTTCTGCTAGAAAACAACGACGCAACAGTTTCCTCCGGCTCGCTCGGCTCGGCGCAGAAAGTGAAAGTAACCGCGCCCAGGAAACGGCCAAGGGAGCTACCCAGTTTTGAGATTTCGTCATCGGCATTGGTTGCATAAATCGTCCACAGTTTCGAGGAGGGCGTACGTGAGGACGTTGAACCGCACGGCAAACCGGCCGGGATGACGACGGCCATGGCCGATCGAGCAGCTGGTAAAGGTAGCTACGCATATATAATACATGCTCTGATGACGTTTTTGTTTAGTTGCAGATGACTAGAGGGGCCCACAGTCCGTTCTAAAATGTACGATTTTTTATTAGTTTTTTGGTATATATAAGTGAAACTTTTACGGTTTTGACTAAATTTATATAAAAAAACTGCATCAGCTATGTGCAACATCAAATTAATTTTAGTAAATCTGTCATCTTTTATATATATCTTATCACTACGTACAACAGCTTTAAAAGAAGCCAACACATTTATT